GTGATGTTGTGTGCATTGAGGTTAAAAACAGTGACTTCGCAGAAAGTGGCTGGTGCATTTTGTAAAAGTATACCACGATGTACAGAGATGACATGAACGGGTTGATAGTGACCATCGCAGTGAATGACCAGAACTTGCTTCACAGCTCGAGAGTTCGCGACGAGGCATGCGAGGTCGTGAAGCAGAACATGTAAGACAGCTAAAGGATAACTCATTTGCAGTGACTTCGTTGCGCAGCAGGATAATAAGCTCAAGCATGAATCATGACTCCCGCGTACATTCTGTTTTCTTTGTTCAGGAGGGTCTTGGTGTTGGTGTTCCGCCAAACCTCAAAAAGTTCCCCATCCTCAACCTCCACCAACACCTCCCACCACCACCACCACCACAACACCGCGACGACGTCTAGAACGCCAAAAAGAATGCATCGGCCGGGAATCGAACCCGGGGCTAGCCGAAACTGTCCTGTGAAGGATGGCAACGGCTAATTTTACCACTAAACCACCGATGCGAAAAGATGGATGCTAAGACAGCTGGAGCTGTGAATGTGACCTAACCAGGGGTCGCAGCGGGGCTGTCAGCTTTGCGATTCGAATAGGAGGCTTCTGAGAGCTACTTACAACCTGGAATCTCTTGATATCGAACGGAGTCGTAGTCAAGCGCCTTGCCATTGGGCCATTAGGCCAGTTGTTGCTTAGTAATGATGGAAAGCTGTTGTTCACGATCGTATATATTGACAGTCAATAGGGCATAACGAGGTTTGAAGTTTGTCGGTATGCAAGAGGTGGTTTGGTGGGGCAGTGTTGCGGCAAACTTTTCTCTAGTGAGGGGATTCGATGGTGGGGCATGTCGACCAACCCTTGTCAGGAACACCATTTTCATTACCTGAGCATTTGCAACTGTCTCTAGCTGCGGACTCTAGTTATTATCTACGGATTTGGCGACATGCACCAGATGTCTTGCGTTCATCAATGAACCCTGTGTCTGTCCAATGGTTAGAGCTGTTACCTACAACTACGCCGGAGTCGACCGATCTTCACATACTCTGATCCAGCAAGGCGAAGTATCTTCGACGTGGGTCATGAATGATTCCAAACACTCCTATAGTATGGCAACCATTCTGTTTAGTCCCATGAAAAAACTCTGGGCATTCATTTGCCGTCTTGTCGGCATACCAATCGAATAGGACCTCGGGAGGCTTATCGTGAGGAATCCAACGCGGAGGTAGCGGGGTGTTTTAGTATCAATTTTCGCTTCATGTCTGCAATTCCTCCAGGCTTCTCACGATTCTCCAAGAACATCGGCGTTTACGACGCTTCATTAATACTTTTGAGGAAATGTGTGAAGCGGCGCGTCAAAATCCATACTCTTACCGACATTTCACGTCTCCAAAGTAAATTTATCTAACCTCTCTGACACCGGACGAGCGAGATGCGGCCATGCCAATTCTGTAAGGCGGGGAGAGCGACTAGTTGAAGCCCATCGATGGCACCGGGCACTATTCGAATCAAGCTGCCCGCGTCGTGAAGCTCGCACTGGCTTTCGATAGCAGGAGCGCGCTTAGGTCTCTGCGGAAGGCATGTGCACTCAGTGCTTTTCGCTGTCGTAAGGTACCTAACAGGCTATCCATTTGGGGCAAGAAGAGCGGTCGTATCCATGTTGTGGTATCTGAATATCCAACAGCTCCAAGGGCTTGGTATGTAGTGGAATTGAGCTTCTCAGTCGCGCGCGTGACCTGGTGAGGTAGATTTGTATGCGACTCAAGTCACATCGAATCCACAAAATCGACGTCATTAAACCCCATACTCTAGCACTGCCACCACCACGATAACATGTTCAAGCGCTTTCTGTCTCTTATCCGCAGGTCTTCAGGGCAGCTGCGCCAAGCCGGCAGTCATCCGGCGCGGCGTGTTGCTTGCCTTATTCTTCAACCACGGATCTCTGCCTGTTAGCTTCTAGTGTACGATAAACAATGAACATGGGGTACGGCGCAGTAGTCGCTGCCGGGTATACTGCTTCCAATCAACCTAGTCCTGACCACTTCAGGCGGGCAACTATGACTCTTGTGCAGCATAGCCAACTACTCCGGAGTACACCATTGCTAACATGTCCTCTATATAGTATGGTCACGTTGCTTACTTTGATACGTTTCCGCAGCTACGACCTCTTGCCAAATACGATGGCTACTTCAAACTTCCTACCCGCCTATTTACTCATAGCAATCACTCTCTTACAGTCCTGTTTCGCCCAGCTCAACGATAACACACCATGGTGTCCTATTACAACGCCTACGTACAACTCCTCTGGCCAGACCGGGTTTCAGATGACATCCGAGGAAGACTGGTACATATCGCTCGCCGTGAATGACCGCCAAGGGTTCAGTTACAGTTCGACTACTGCTTATATCAGCCATCCAGAGTTGACAAGCGTAACTATGGGTTGCTTCCATCGGTTTAAAGCCATCAATGCTTCAGCTACAGGAACAGGCGAGAACGGCTGCGAAGGTGTGCTGAGTGCTGAGTGCATGGATGTATTACGCGAAATTTCTTTTCCACCTGTGACTTCTGGGGTCTCCATGGACGGCATGGAATGTGAGGACATCGACAGCGATCGAATCAGAGATGCTTGTCCCAGCGAAATACTGGCCCCGTTGATTGTGAGGAGTGAGTGTCTGCATCTTCCTTCTGACAGCGCTGATTGCTAATGAATCAACGCAGCCCCAGTTCTTGGCTTCTCGAACCAGACATGTGATGATAAACCGCCACCAGGAGAACACGTTCCTGAGCGATTTCACACAAGGCTCATGGATACTTATTCAATCAAATATAATCAACGGGACCGTGAGGCCGGTAGCTTCGAATCGTATGACGTTTCCGTCAAGCGGCCTGTACCATCCGTGTTCGCGGCTTACCTTGCCGACGGCACGACAGAGACACACGTCGTATGCGTCACACCCGACCATGTGGCTGAGGGTAGCCGAGAACCCGAAGAAGAAGAGCCATGGGATCTCCTGGAGAGCACCGGTGCGCGCGGGTCTTGGGTGATAGCTGGACAGGTGGCAACGGTAGTTGCAATCGCAGTGGTTGTCGCAGGGTACTGAGATGAAGGGCTGATGTTCAGTATACCAAGAAACAATGGAAAAGTGCGAAGAACAACATTAGCCTTAGCCCGTCAAATGCTTCATCGAAGCTCAAACAAACAACCGGTCTGTATGATTTTGACCAGACAGCGTGCACATCGCTCCGGCTCTGTACATGCGTCGACTGACTTCCGGGATTCGTGCAACCAGCGTGTTTCTCCACAGTCACACCATGGAGGCCTTTTCGCATCAAAATAGAACCCCCTCAAGGGCTTTTTAGGTGTAGGGCGAAGATCGAGCGCCTGTGCGGTAGATGGGAGTTTGATGCGTATCTCGAAAGGCTCAGTGATCCTCGTCTGTAACTAGTCGCAGCGCTCGAGGCCCGTCGGAGGGGTTGACGGGACTGTGTGTTGATGGTCTGCGGGACCGGGAGGAGACATTTGGGTCGGGTTGCGGCAGACGCTGTGCTGTGCGCATACGCCAGTGTAGGATTGAAGGATAGCTTCAGAGCGTCTTGTCTGCGCCAGTTGTTGGGTCGAGTTAGCGTGCCAAGGCCGGCTCGTCGAGATTTCCTTCCCCGCCACCAGCTTCTAAACGGACAAAGCGCAAGCCACCATCCTCGATGCCACTGGAGCGACACCTTCGCTACCATTCTAACCACCTCCAATACCCCCTCAACTCTATGAACCCATCGCACACCAACGCATCAATGCTTTTTCTAGGATCGCGTTTCATCATGTCCACCAGATCTGAAGTGAGATGCACCGCCGATGCCTAGGTAGCCAGTGAGCCACGAGTCTATCCCATTGGAGACATCGGTGTTGTAATGCGCCTCCTCGCGTGGCTCAGTGCGACCTCCGCAGTCCAGCCTGTCTCAGACCTTCCATCGATGATACCTCGTGCTTGCAAGGTCTCCTGCATCTCGCATATCGTTGTGGCGCTGGAATTCGCAATACCCGTTCGTCAATCTGAAGATCACGAGCAAAAGCAACGCGACGATCCACCAGTCGCATGCAGGAGAGAATGCGCCATTCTCCACCCATCCACACGAACCCATCTCACAAATACATCCCTGGAGGGCATTAGACTTCGAAGTTCGTTTTTTCTGTTTGTTCTTTTGGGGCTGTACTGCAATGCTGCATTGGTACTGCTTCGATTCCAAGCCACAATCTTCACTACTGCTGTTTCGGGCTGCATGGTGTGGAGACAGAGGCGCATCCACTCTCTCACGATGATGCAATCTCCCATCGGAACGAGATCTCGTCTTCAGAGGACTCATATGTTACTTGCTGTGCTTGGTGCGAACTTGGTAGCGTACGCTGGTATGCGGGAGGGGACGCCCACCGTATTGACCCTGAGGAAGACCCTCCAGAGCCCTGAACTGGCCCCTGGCAAAGAGGGTCAACCTTGAGAAAAGCAGTCGCGTCCTGGAGCCTTCCGAAGCGGTACCTGATAATCCCGTCCCCAGGCGCCCGATAGCATTACTAGAGCGACTGGGCTGTACCATGGAAGGCACTAAAAGCCCTGCAGTGGAGGACTAATCCAAAGGCGCAACGGGAAAACAAAACACCCCGCTCGCGTACCTTGCAGACTATGACAACTCGATTGGCTCCCCACTGTGCATGCGCAGCTTTGCTATCTCTATAGCGACGTCGGCGAGGAGCCGTGAACCACGCGCCTGTGTCTGCGGTGGTACCCCGGGCTGAAACGCCATGTCCAATTCGTCGTACAAGACGCTCTCCTCTAAACATCCCGTGCCCCTCTATTCCTCTCGACCACAGTCCTTTCTTCCTGCCATACAGTCGTTTCACCCGTGTACTTCTCATCAGACATTCAATCGTTTCAATCACCTCACCTTCGCCTGGTCGGCAACTCTGCATGAACACACGGAGCAAACAGGACACTGCTACCGTCAGCTCACGCAATGGGTGTCGATGCCAGCGCAGTCCCGAAAACAGAAACTCCGCTGCCCTGGCTAGTCCACGACAAGGGGCCCCTTCATCTTGCCATTGTCGTTACGCTGGTCTTGACCGCGCTGTTGGTTTACTCGCTCAGAGCCTTCACTCGTGGAAAGCTCCTTCGCTCCTTCGGCATCGATGATGGACTAATGGTTCTGGCCGCTGTAAGTTCAGTGCAGTTCAATGACATGGCTCATATTTGCTGACACAGAATAGTTATGCACAATAGGAATCTTCATCACGTTCACTGGAGTCGTAGAGCTCGGTCTGGGACAGCAGCAAGACGACTATGTCTTACCCGCCAGCAAGACCGTCCAAATGGGTCCGTGGATGTGGGCGTTGAACTCATTCATCATCTTTGGGCTTGGTCTCGTGAAGCTGTCGGCTGCTTTCACTCTTTTGCCTCTTACAAGTGCTAGACGCCAGTCGTATCTACAGATGGGACGCACTTTCCTTCTCATCTGCCTCATCCGTATGTCTAAATCAACCTAGCTTTCAGGAGCAAAAGCTGACACACCTAGTACTCGTGTTCTGGCACACAATTGAATGGTTCACATCGCTTCTTGCTCAGTGTGTACCGCTCGTGGCGGCTTGGGATCTCTCGCGCGATAATACGGCATTGTGTATGTCGCAAAGCGAGTCCGAGATTTGGGCCATGGCGAATTACTGTAAGTACAACACTCTTGCCTCCAACAAACAGACCTGACCCATTCGTCTAGCGATCAACACAGCGTCCAACGTGCTGATGGTCGTCGTTGTTTTACCCATCGCCGTCGGTACTCCTTCCAATCTTGGAGCCAAGCTACACATCCTCGCAGTTCTATTATTGGGTCTCTTGTATGTTCTCATAGTTCGCAAAGGTGCCCCTGAAGTATTGGCCGCTAACACATCTGCAGTGTATGCGCTGTAGCCATCATCAGAACCCGAACGGTCTACACCTCTTGGGGTCACGTTGGCCATCGCAACAACTTCGACTTGAATTTCACTACCTGGGGCATGATCGAATTCCTAGCTGCCATGATAGCCGTCAACCTCAGTACTTTGGTGCCTCTTGGTAGAGCAATCCGTGATCCTCTCGATACACCCCGCAAAGCCCCGCGTGTGGCCGCCATCTCTGGCCCCATCGCCGGCAGCACTGTTCACCTCATTCACGGCGATGTTGACGATCTCGTTCCCAGCTACTCCGAGTCTTACGAGCCGGAGATGGATGACTCCTACAACTCGTATAACTCTCGCTATTCTGGCCAAACAGTTATCTACCGCCCTGATACAGCATACTTCCCCTCTCACGGCCATAACAACAACAGCCTAACACGCTTTCACGACGACGAATCTAACCTTGACTTCGACATCGAAGCACCCTCAACCCGATCCAGCCCTCGTAGGGTCACAAAACCAGGACCATCTTCGCGCTTCTCCGTATCTACCGTCAGCACACGTAGAGTGAGCGACTGGTCACAACTCAGCGGCTTCACATACTCCCCGCCCAAAGACTCCGATCCCGATTTCGAAAAGGCGATGAGCGGAAGAGCCAGGATTAGTGCGGCGGAGCTCGAAGAGATTGTCAAGAGTCTAGGATTGAAGAGGCAAAGCAGACATGAAATCTGGGACAAGGAGATCGGTCTCTTTGAAGAAAAAAGCGAAGACGGAGGAAGTTCCGTCGCGCCCACAATATACCTGGAAGACGATGAAGACGCCGTTGACAGTGCGGGAGTCCTATGCACATGCCCAGCACCACGGGTACGGAACGGCGACGCAGGTGACTCTGCGCTACAAAGCGAAGCAGACTCGAGCGAGATCACCGTGATCCGCATACGTGGGACAGCTAAGTGCAGTCTCCACAAACCCTTACCGCGCATTCGATCCCGCGAATGGCTCGCACGCGGTTAACAGCGCAACCGCGCAAATTTTCCTTTTTTCAACAGCGGTCTTTCCTTGCACACAACATTTCGTCGCAAACCGCAGTGCCATATTTCGGCCGGAGTCATATACCATCATTAGAAAGTTTCTTTTCAGAACATCCCATGTATTACTAGCAAGATGAGATGCAAAGATGCATCTCACTTAGCATTACCTACTCAGTAGCTACCAGAGTCCATAGTCATAATTTCTTTATCTCAATCCGAATCAATCTTGGATTCATACTATGAATGAGTGCACTTCTACTCAGCCCATCGCTTCTTGACATACTGTGCTTGGTGGCCACCAGGCAACTCATTAACCCACGCATCAATCTCCTCTTTGACAACACGCGGAACAGTGCATTTGTTCATCGCAGCAGCATCCTGCGTCTTGAGCGTGGGACAATTCTGGTAGCAAGGCGAGTCAAGAGCGCGTTGAAGTGCGTCGCCTTGCCAGCCGAAGAGGTAATCGCCATGATTTGCATAGCCCGTGCTGCCAGAAACCATTAGCAATCACACCAGCTAGTATAAGAGTCCTTGACTTACCCATCGCCGAAACTCCAGACGAATGGTTGACTGCCATCTTCCGGCCAATCAGCCTTGTTGTTAAACTTGCTCGTGTCCCAGATGACTTCGTAGAAGAGCTGACCCATGCGCACGGGGTGGCTGGCGGGGCAGGGGCCGCCGGACTCGAAAGACCCAAATTCTGGGTAGGACATGTGTGCCATGTGGTCTGGAGAGTCCAAGTTGACACCATCCCAGCACCTAGGGCATATTAGTAGACTGACATGCTGCATTCGTGAAAGGGGATGGGGGAGGAAGACGTACGTGGGAAAGCGAACAGCAGTCATGATACCCGTCTTACACGGCTGGGTGGGAAAGTCGAGAGTCTGTGGGTCGCGCGTGTTGATAGTGTCCAAGCAAGTAAATGTTAGCTGGCGGAAGCGTTCTGCTTCGTCTTTGGTGCGCGCGTTGACGTCGCCGATGAACATGCGGAAGCCGGGTTGAAAAGCCTGGACTTTGGAGGTTTGCTGGAAGTTGTAGAGGCCGTCTTGCATATAATACACTGTCATGCCTCCGTTTACGCCGTTGAAGCCAGAGTTGGGGATCTGGGGAACGCGCTTGTATGTACCATTTCTGGCTTTGAAGTATAGAACGGCTGTCCAGTAGTTCTACAGATCCATTAGCAATGTCGTTCAGTTGACAGATGGTTGATTCAACATACGGAGAAGTCCTCGCTGAACTGGCATGATGTGCATGTTGACTCTCCTGGCATGTCCTTCTCTGGATCCATGGTGACGTTGAAGGAGTTACCTCCAAGAATTTGATGTAAATGCGGCGAGGGAGCCTGGCCTGGTGTGACCAGAGGGTCTAGCCTGTCGATGACTAACTGAGCGCATGGGAAGCGCAGAAGCGCCGTTGTGGGTGCAACAAGTGCAAGCGCGGTAGCACTAAAAACCTTCATTTTGAAGGCTGGTGATGTCCTGCTTGAAAGGAGAAGATCGAGGTGGTAAGAGGTATGCTTGCTGCTCAGTATTTTATACAACAGTGTGGAAAATGCATGCGATACCGCCGGGGTCAAGGGTGGTAATGCCGAGCGGGTATGCCGTGTCGCAAAGGCAAAACTCGGTCTTGGTCAAGACATCGATGGGCAGAATCTTGCGCTGGATGAAAGCTAATGCGCTTTGGGACTCGAAAGATGAATGTGGATGCACGATGTCGTCGCATGAGTGGGTGGCCTCCACATCAACGCTCCTGGATTACAATGTCGAACGCTCTTCAACCACTCACGTTGATATGACCTATCGTATTGGAAGCTCATGGCATCCATAGTGCTGCTGATCGGGTTGCAGATACTTCATCGTCGGCTTAGCCAATTAGCCCCATCTCATGATGATGCTGAGCTGGGCGTCTTTGGTCGGCGACAGCACTGCTGTGATTGGCAAAGGTATTCCTCGAGCCCGAATTAGTCCAGTGATGCTACTCTTCCATATTCCACAAGTATTAGAAGTCTTGTCATGCCGTCGGCAGTTGCATGCATGTGAGCGGCGGAACGTATAACGCCCCACTTGTACAACGAGAACTCAGGCCACCAAAGAACTGTGAATGGTTGATCCGCTTTTCGGATAGGATGATGTTCGCGGACGTTGGGACAAGGTTGCGTGAGCCTCAATCTATTCTACTTTGCCGTCGCGCCAAGTTGTGGGGTACCAATCCTTACCATTTGTTTATATTGTCCAACCCCCGTTCCTCATTAACGCGTGCCATTCGTACGGATACGCTGGGATGGTACAAAAGAATTTCGCCTTTGTCATTGGCCGATCATAAGGTGCCCAGCTGGATAGCGACGGAGGCCAAAGGGTTGTAGTCACGTGCTGATCGGATTGTTGAAGCGTGCAGTGGGCCGAGAGAATAGGCTGTTGAAGAGAGTGGGATCTGATCGCGAGGAACGAGCCTTTATCAACCAGGTACGATCCCATGGAAGCAATATAGTCCATGTGGTGCTGTCAGGTATAGACTCCAGAATCTCAAATATCCTTCTGGAACGTCAACCACTTCCGCTCTTCAAACCCGGAAGCTTTTGCATCTCTTCTCATTGGACGTCTTGTCGCACGGCATTTCCTCTCTTTACTGGTCAGATCGAAGTCAACCATGAAAACCAGTACTATTCTCGCGTGCTGGGTGTCAGCTGCATCTGCCGCCTTCGACTTGAATCGTGGGGGTGCAGTACTCAAAGCGCCTCAAGGCGACTCGTTTGCCAGCGTAACAGGCACTGTGAGTGACTCTCGTGCTGCATGTGATATGAGTACTAACTGCATATACAGTTCACAGTACCGAACTTATCGGGTAGCAACCGACTCTCGATCTGGGTCGGCATTGGGGACACACTTGAACAGGAGAACGTGCTCGGTGGTGGCATCGTGTACAACAGTACGCTCAGAAGCTTCTCTGCATACTTCCCCGGTCCGGTGACAGATACCACTTCGACGGTTCCTGTTGCCAACGGTAATTCTATCACCGTGACAGTCAGCGTGGCTACTGCAGGGGGTACTGTGACGATTGAGAACAAGACGCAGAACAAGAGGACAACACAGACACTCACAGCTCCGAATGGCGTGGATCCGTCCTCATTGACTGCGCTGGCGGCAAACTGGTTTGTGCAGGCATACCAGGTGATCCCAGGCCAGCTTGTAACTACACCAAATTTTGGAACAGTATCGTTTACTGCAGTCTCGGCGACTACGAAGAGCGGCGCGAATGTCCCAATCTCCGGCGCAGGTCGATATGAGATACAAGGAACCAGCGGACAGGTTAGTTGTACATGGCGTGCCAGCCGTCCCTGCTAATGTCTGACTAGATGTATTCGAAGACAACGATATCGAACACTGGTGTCTCCGTGCAGAGACAGGCGTAGAAAGAGGGTTGCGATAGTGGTGTTCATGTTCGGAACACGACTTCCCAGGTTGGAAGTCGCTGCATCGTCGTAGGTAGTCGAGGATAAATAAGCTTGGGCTGTTTCGCTGTTTCATCGACACTTCATGTATTAGACTGCGCGCAATAAGACAAGATGATTGCGCGACGCTGACCGGGAGAGTTGGTGAAGGTCGCTGGTGATGATGTGGTGAATGATGCGCAGACGATGACGTTCGCTTGGCCTCCCCTCCACATTTCTCGACGCGTCGCGACTTCCCAACTGCGTCGTGCGACAACACCGGCAAGATGCGCTTCAAGGCGTCAATACAGAATATTAATACCTTTACGAGTAGGTGCATAAGGCGACACTTCAATCTGCGACTAACCCCTTGCAGAGCTCACGGCGTCACTCAATTCGCTCGGCCCGCTCGCGTGGGTGAAGCTCAGCGAAGAGCAAGTATGCTTCACCATCATACCAGAGCAGGGCACTCAAGTATGGGCGTGAGTAGACGCCTCATACCTCGGTGTCTCTCGTTCTAACCGCATGCAGTGTCCTCTCTATTGTAAGCATGCCGTCTCATCTTTCGCTGGCTGGATGTTAATGCGCCGCGCAGGACTCTATCTTCGAGACCATCAGCGTGCAGTCAGCAGCGAACAACGTCATCAACCTCGAAGTTCCGCTCACGTCGCTGAATCGCGCTCTCAAGTCAGCCCTCAATGCCACGTCGGCCCAGATACGCCTCACCAAGAAGGACAACCTGCCCATGCTTGCCCTCACCATCGTCACCACGACCTCCTCGAACACGTACAGCGCCTTCCCTGCAGCCACAGCCAACAACGACGATGGCTTCGACGCTGCCTTTGACAACGAATTTGGTGGAGGAAACCGTGAGACCATTGTCACGCAGGAGATACCCGTGCGAGTGCTTGCGCCAGACACTGTAGCGCACCTGCATGAGCCCGTCTGTAGAGAGCCAGACGTACACATCATACTGCCTCCTCTGATGCAGCTGAAGAGCATCAGCGACAGGTTCACCAAGCTCGCGCTGGCAGACACCAAGGCAAGCACCGCGACGACGGCATCAAGGACACGACTAGAGGTTGCCGCCAACATGCACGGCTGCCTCAGGATGAGGATCCGATCCGACGCCATGAACATATCCTCCATCTGGACCGATCTTAGTAATCCAGAACTCGACCCTGGCCACGTCGCTGGTGGAGAGGATGGCGTAGCTGAACACCCAAGCACGCGTATGAAGCAGCTGGGCACGGCAGACGGGCGTAGTGAAGAAGGCTGGGCTACAGTGAGGATCGATGGGCGTGACTGGGGTAAGGTCATGAGTGTGGGTAGGCTGGGGGGACGAGTGATCGCTTGTAAGTCGTACGAACTTCAAATCTGCCAACATGCTGACATTCTCAAGGCTTCTGTCATGAGCATGCACTCATCCTCTACGTTTACCTACCCAACGATAATGGCGATGACGAGTCGGTCCTGACAGTACGTTGCACTCTTCACACCCTCGCTCACCAGACTGACATCACAGCAGTACTTTATCAGCTCCTACAGCGCATAGCTACCTTCGCGCTCATGTCATCCTCACGAGGCACAAACTAGATACCTTTGCTTACGCGACACCGCATACCTCATCACCACCATCCATCGTACCAGACATATGATCTTGTGGTGGCGTACGCTACACGTTGACACTTCGACGTGCGAGCCAGATTGACCACAACTCTCGACTGTCTCCAGAAATGCGCATAATTGGTTGTGCTACTCGTGTACGGGCTACAATTGGAGATGGAAGCGTCGGCAAAACTAGCACTCTATTAGCCGAAGGCAGCAGAAGGATGCCTAAACGCCAAACCGCTTGCACCACGCCGAGACAAAGTCTCATGCTTTGAGTTGGCTTCTCACGATAGGTATAAAGTCGGTTACTCGTCTCAATCCGGCGTTCGCTTCATAGCTCCCCAAAACACAACATGGACGAATGGAAAGGAGCCCTTTTTAATTTCACCTTCACCGCCTCTTTGCCTTCCCATCCATCTGACTTGAGCGACGTTTGTGCAGTCAATACCAACAGCTCGTGCTTCATCACAAATCTTGCGACTGAACTCGTTCATCATATCATCGACTACATACCTCCCGCATCTCAGATCGACTTCGCATATACCTGCAAGCATTTATTCGCATGCTCTGCAGACGTTCTCAAACGCCATCGCGACGCTCATACAAAGTATTGTATTTCGTCTGATATTGACCCAACGACTGTTCCCACACTCCTCCGGAGCGCTTACGGATATGGTGACCCAATTCTAGCCTGGCACGTTCGAAGTCTGGAGCTTTGGTATGATCGCACAGGATGGGATGCATGGAAGACGCTTGACTTCGACGTTCCAATCGATCAGAGCTCACGGTCGCCAACAACCTGGGAGTTCATGCCTGGTGAAATCGACGACTACATGGAGCCATTAGATCAAGCACAGAGTGATCTTATTCCCGGTACACGCGCCGAGGAGGCACGTACACAAATTATTGATGGCTACGACATTTACCTGAAAGCTCTCCTCGTTGCAAATTGTCCTAGGCTTCGAGACGTCAAGTTTGTCATGACGGCGCGGGATGGGACGGTATCGAGGTCATGTCTCGACTGGCTTCAAACTTTTATCAACGACTCTCACAACAAGAAAACTTCTTGGGGACCTGGCCTCAAAAATCTTCGTTCAGTCGCTGTTGGTCTGCCCACCGGAACTTGGCTGGATGCGGCCTATCATCCCAATACCTGGCCTTGCAACACAGGATTTCTTGTTCAGTTCCTCCGTCTCCCAAGCCTCGAAAAGATATACTTTAGAGATTGCGTAGGTGATTTCCAAGACAGGACGCCCTGGAGGAACCTTCTACCTGCTGGAACCTCCCCTGTCAAACATCTCTTCCTGGACAGTTGTGGGGAATTTGGGCAAGAATTCCTCACTGCTCTTACTGCCGTCCCATCAGGACTCATCACAGCCTCTTTCCGCGCCGGCGATGCGACTCGACTCGAAGACGCGGACGAACTCGTTCGCAATCTCGGCACCTACCAAGGGAACACCCTGGAAAGTCTGATGTTCTATGACTATCATGACAATCCCCATAAAATCCACGGCGATCGCTGCGCAGCCTTCCGCCCAGAAGAACTCAGCAATATGAGGAAATTGAAGCACCTCTGCATGGACATCCAAGACATTGAGCTCGAGGCCTGCTACCAAAGAGACGACAGCGCAGAAGATTGGGAGAGCGACGGAGCGTATCTGGAACGCTGCTTCTTGGAGAGTGTATGGAATTATGAAGCCCTGGTTCTATGGGGATCACTCAGCGAATCTTACATCAAATGGGAACCGAACGAGGAACAAGGCTTCGAAGATGCCATCATTTCTCTGATCGGAGGACGACCTATACGAAAAGATACTCTCACGAATGAGAGAAATCGCAAGTATAATATGCTGTCTCTGACCGGAGTCCCAGGGCCCGGAATCGCAGTGACGAAAGCTGTGTATCTGGAGAACGTGGAGAAGAGCAGTGGGCCCATCACTACTTTTAGTCCTGGGCGCGGAGGAGAACCCTCACCGAATGAAAAGAGCAAGGTCTGGTTCCGTCGCGCGATTGAAGTAGCGAGGAAGAGGGGCAGGGATCTTCATACGCTCACGAATCGCTCCAAGCCGCGCCATCAGATTGACTTTCCTGAGGCGCCTGATAAGTAGGACCTCAAGAGCGGTCCGTGGGGTGAGAGACCAGCAGATTGGGTCTTCAATGTGTATACGGGTCGTAGGGAGCCCAAAGGCTGTGGCAAGTATGGGAACTGCGATGTTTGCTTTGGGTATTACAGTAATGAAATGTGGGATGGGCTGGAGAAGGAGCCGAGAAGAGTGAAGTATGATGGGAGAGATGTGAGCCAGACCAACGAGCAGGATCGAATGAGAAGTTGAGAAAATGGTGCGAGAGACGTCTGCTTACACCAAACGTCATCCATCAGTCTATTAGGCACACGAAATGGAGGACGCAAATACGTTCATGCCTAGCACAAGAAAGAGGAGATAATTCACTTAGGAAATATGAGTGTCACGTCGAAGAAGACAACTGCACACATCTGGACAGAACAGTCACATTCGAAGAATACAATGTATTCATCCTCGTCAACCCATCAGCCACCATCTACTTCCCCGCATTATCAACATGCTCCCTAAGCTCCTTCTCATTGTCCTTTGCCAGCACACCGCCATTCGACTGCGTAGCGACAACCGAGCTCCTCCTCCTCTCCGCCTCATGCGCCTGCTCCGTATCCGCGTAGTCCACAAGCAGCTCGCCCTTCTTGCCATAACGATGCGGCAAGTTGTGCGCAATACCAACGACATCGAATGGACCGCTTGCCGCGTGGAAGATCTCATCCATTTCCTCGAGAGACCGGTATGCAGTCTCTGGGAAGAAGAAATATACCGAGGGTACCATTGCAGCGTTGATAACGGCAAAGATGATGTAGGTCTGGTAGCCAATGTTTGCGAAGGCAGGGGGCGTAATCATTACGACAAGGAAGTTGAAGATCCAGTTCGCTGTGGTGGAAATGGCGTTGGCGGGCGCGCGGATGGATAGTGGTGTGATTTCAGCGGGATACAGCCATGTCATGCCTAGCCAGCCGATAGCGAAGAAGGAGTTGAATACGAAGAGGAAGACGGTGGCGAGGAGACCCAGGCTTGTGTTGCCGATGTTGCTGGTTGCACCTGCTAGCACGGCCATGGACATGGACATGCCGGCAGCACCGAACATCATCAAAGAGCGGCGTCCGAACTTCTCGATTGTGAAGATGGCGATCCAACTAGCCATCCAGTATTCGGTGCCGTTGCAGGCGGATAGAAGGCGACTGAGGAAGGGCGAGAGACCGATGGAGTTTTCGAAGATGGTCGCGGCGTAGTAGGTTACCAGGTTGATACCAGAGATCTGGAGTATTGTTAGTTACTATCTCTTGTCCTGTTGGAAAGGCGGAACTTACCTGTTGGAACATCTGGTTGACATAGCCCAACACAGTGCGGTGGAAGTTGCGGTTCTTGTTCCTCTTGAAGCAATCGCGGAAGCCGCCACGCGACATCTCCTCCGTAACATCCTTGACAGCCTGGAACTCGGCTTCGACCTTCTTGTCGTCTATGGGAAGGTCGCTCAACGCAGCCAAAACTTCAAGAGCCTCTTCCTCTCGACCCTTCAGTACCAGCCAACGCGGACTTTCGGGGAGACCAGGAATCATAACGAGGATAAAGAGGGCCAAGATGATTTGGAAAGCGATAGGGAAGCGCCAGGCGATGCTGCTGGGTTCGAGGAAGGAGAAGCCGAGATCGAGCCAGTAGCTAAGCATGACACCGAAGACAATCATTGAGCCTTCAATCATGACCATCTGCCCTCTGCGGTGTGGTTTCGAAGTCTCGGACTGCCATGTTGGGACTGTACTTGTGTTCATGCCGTTGCCGAAACCGGTGATCCATCGTCCGATGATGAGCTGTGCGAGTCCGTACGATGCTGTTTGGAGGATGGCTCCGACTATCATGATAGCACTGCCGATGAAGATGGTCTTCTTGCGTCCGAGCATGTTGCCGAGCCAGATGGTTGCTACGGCGCCGAAGAAGCAGCCCAGTGTGTAGGCACCGACTAGACGGATATTAGCGACGTTGGGTTTGGATGCTGAGCGAGCTTACCTGTGATGGCTTGGATAGTCGCGGCATGGCTTTTCGAGCTCCCTGGGGGCGGGTTGTTGCTGTCGATTTCGGGGAAGTATTTGATGAAAGAGCCCAGAGTGAGCAAACCGCCCATTACACCCTGATCTGAGCAAATGTTAGAACTGATACCGACAGTGTTGGCATGAATGCTTACCATAACCAAAGAGGGCGAAATCCGTGCCTGCTATCACAGCAATAGCAATGTTGAGCTTAGTGCCCTTGAGGCCATAGAACTTGCCCATCTTGTTTAGTAATACCAACGATCAATGCGTGTCGTGCTAGACAACGAGGTAAGAAGGGCGTTGCAACAAAACAACAACACAAGAGGCCAGCTCGCTTCCAATTCGTGCGAGGTGCGATCGATGAGGTACGACAGCAGGCGCGACGACCCTCTCTTAAGAAAATGTGAAAGGGCAACCGCGACTCTCTGCCACCAATGTAACAGTAGAGTCCGTCCTCACGCCGCCAACCCAGCAATAACGCCGAACCGCCCTGTCTACCGGCGTCATCCCCACAGTTTGCTCTCGACGATGACGTTTGGTCTGGAGCCGCTGGTGATCCCAACCCCGTGGAGTTTGGCGTGCGGAGAAAGACACACTACCCGATCGCACGGGGATGCCAGGGTCGCCCTGTGTGATTCGTCGCAATTCACCAGTCAGCTCGCAGTCGCCCATCGGAATTACCGCAATAGGTACTCCCGGCGCATTATGATGTCGCTAACAGGGTGAAAGTTCGCGACACGGGCGCACCAAGACGGTGTTTCGCGCCGCTTTGGTGCTTGGTGGCTAAGCATCGCGAAGGCGCGAAAAGCTCCGGCCTAGTCCGATGCTTCGGCTCGTCTAAGAAATTGCTTGGGCGGCTTGCCAAAAAGCGTAGTTCCGCACGTCAGCACTTGTGGGAATAACCTGGGAAATGCCTAAAAATGCCCTCGTTTCGAAGGGACGGGTGTTGTCAAACCCAAGTCTTCGGGGAGGTGTGCCGGTTCTACGGTAGGTGTGCCGGTTGAAGTATCCAGCTTGCGGGATTTACGATCATCAGGGACAGGGTGCGTCAACCACGCGACAGCACCAAGTTTTCTCGGTTCGGATTAAGGCTGTGGAGCCGATGGCTTGGGGGAGGCTTCTTTGTGGAGAACGCGCTGTTGGAGTTGCACTGTGGGTGTACTAAAACTTGCACGTGAGTCCTTTCGATGCTGCCCAGGTGGCCCACTGCATTTTTGGAGTAATGTTCACCGCGAGTACCCATGCGACATCTCGATATTGTTTCTACACCCGTTGCATTTTCTATCTGATGTCGCTAGCACGTCCATCTGCATCTCCTTCACACGCGTCTAACTGGTGTGATGATGCAAGCAGTAGACGGATTCCAACGCACATGCATACGTTTTCGATTCGAAGGTGTTCAGAGTCATTCAAGGTCCATTGTTTGCCTGGAATGACTAGTTGTTATATCTATGCAGTGGTCTGGGCAAGGTCCCCATACTTAAGGCCCCCAAGCCTTACGCTCCGTTTCCATCAACTCATCGATCGGTGCAGTCAAGCTTACTGGTCGCATCACTCCGTTCAGGCCCGACGCTGAAATATCTCTACTGTGCGTGTCTAGATACTGGTTGTAGTCAGCTCCGAATGAACTAGTGGTGACCCCCGTTGCGCCCTTCTTCGTAGGAGATGGGGCAGGTGTAGGAGTCGCCGAGACCACACGCTTTTGCAGTCGCCTTTTCTTGTGTTCTTCCATAATCATCTGTGCTCGACTTTTGTTCAGTTTCCAGGTAGCCAAATTCCTTGCCGGTAATACTGTCCGTTTGAACATGCCTATCCCAGCGATGACAGGCTCGACAAGGCCCATGCCGATGTAAGTATCAGCTTCCCACACAGGCGCAGAAAAAGAGTTCAATAGCCCCTGTGTTTCGCTCTCATTCTCCGTTGTATCGTAGATGGGTCGCTTCAAAGGATCAGTGGACGCTGTTACAAAGTCGCCAAAGTCTTCGTCGTTTAGGTTAGTGGGCTTGGACTGGGAAGTACCCGGCTGAGGAGGAGATTCATTCGTTGGGGGCAGAACTGTCTCTGAAACAGAAGACGGGCTTAGCCTGGGTACAGCAAGTGCGCGATTATCTTCCCAGGCGTTCTGAACAGATTCAGCTTCAGTCGCCGCGTCCAGATTTCGCGGAACACCCATGAAAGAATCGACCTGATTTGACGACATGGCGTTTGAATGGGTTCTCTAGTTGAGTGATTGAGAACTCTAATACCCAAAGGTTGGAAGGAAGCGTCTGCTTGGATGTTGCGATATTTGGTTCACGTTGCTGACCATTGTGAATACTAACAAAGAACGTGCCATGGCTCTTGAAGCCCCAAAGTGAATATATAAAGCATATAGGCATTATATGATGAGATGATATCAACCCGAGAATCGCTGGAAATGCGCATATGGCGTGAAGACGAAATGCTTTTCCTAGGTCGTTAAGACGCTAACTCCACATCCCAACGCTGAACGCCAATAGTGTGACCATGCTAGAGGTATCATACGCGCATAGCTTCTCTCGCAGCGGGCTCTCTCTCCATCTCGTATTCGATCTCGCGTCTCGGACCTTTTGAGTCCTTCGAGGGCTTCTTCTTGGGCTTGGGTGGCGGGCCAGCAGGACGCTTGCGCTTGAGATTTGCGAGCGTCTTTTTGAGAGCCTCTGTGTCCTCATCTGCAGACTCATCCTCCTCATCTTCTTCGCTGCCACTACCGCTCTCGTCGTCTTCGTCACCTGAGCCTTCATCAGGACTCTGTCCGCCTATCCAGTCTTCAAAGTCCTCCATCTCGTCGTCGGATTCGCCCTCAATGTCGCTCACGTATTCGACTTCGCCCACACCGTTCTCCATCTCGTGTTCGTATTCGTTCTCGTCTTCCTCCTCAATGCCTTCGTCCAGATCCTCGTCGCCCTTGAGCTGGCCCTCTTTCTGCAGGCCGCGCATGACACGCTTCCAGACATTTGGTTCAACGTTGATCCTGTCTTGCAGTTAGTCTCAAACTCAAACACGAACTGAGTAAATCTAGACAGTGTGACGGTGCTCATTAAAAAATTAGAGTGTTGTTGTTGTTTTTGATCCTCATCGAAGGATCTCAGGGTTAAAAAGCGAATAATCATGGCAGCAGTGGGAGGAGGGGGATGAACTTACGGTCGATCGCCGTATGCGCCACTACGCAGACGGTCAATGAGAACTCGCTCGATGGCGCGCTCGACCTTGGCGGCTGCGAGAGCTTTGCGCTCACGGCCTTCCTCTCGTCGGCGGACCTTGGGTGCCAGTCTGGGAACTAGGCGCTCTCCTAGACGCTCTTCTTCCTTGGCCAGTTTCCGTATCCTTATGTTGACTTGAGTAAGACGAGTCAAGCGCTGCTTGTTCTTGTGCTTAAGGAACTTGGGGAAGTATGCGAGGTGCTGGTCGACCATCTCGAGCGCTTGGCTATAGTTCTTAGGAAGCTTTATCTTTTCCCACCATTGCGACGGAAGATGTGCGCGTTCGATCGCTTTGATGTATAGATACAGCTCGCCGGTCGCGGGATCTGAGCGAATCGTGGCATAGCGTGAGTTCGCGAGGGGGCACGACTGCTTGGAGCAGTAACCTGATACGTTGTGTTCGTTTCTGCAGAAAGTTTGGTCTTTTGTGGTTTTGAGTTCTGAGTAGACAAAGTCAGCATTATCTTGTATGCATATTTACAGAGGCTCACGCACTGAAGCTGCAGAAATCGGTGCCAATAACGGACCATACAAGATCGTCCGAGGCCATGGCGGCAATGAAGTCCTTCCGCGGACGCACGTAAACACAGAAGCGAGGATCCCTTCAACAATAGTCTTTCAGCGCGGCGAAAAGCGAACAGAGGGTCCTTCGGGGTATCGTGTGTGCGTTCTGGCGCGAAGGGAACAGGTGTTGTAGTAGCAAAGTAGACATGCGACGATCTCAAGAAATTATTATCTTAGCGCGTGCACGGGCCACTGCGGAGGTGCAGCGGAGCTACCATCAAGTACAGATGCGACGACGAGGTAAACCTCAACTGGCGGAATGAGAGCCGTCGTCTCATCTCTCCGTCGCAATCCTTCCAATCAATTGAGAGCGCCTTGTTGCCCAATTCGCACCGTATTGCATTCGCCCCATGTCGCGCGAATCGCATCGCTCCACCATGAACCCCTCCATGTGCAGCGCGCCTTGACATGCCAGCCGCATCTGTACCATACAGATAGCAAGGAACCGACGATATATGCGCTTTCTACTGCTAGTGGAAGGGCAGCGATAGCTGTCATTCGAGCCTCGGGTCCGGCATGTAGGCAGGTTTGCACTCTCCACCCCATGATCGACTTCCCTTCCTTACGCTTCGTAGATATACGAAGGGCTATGTCCCTCTACAGCATTTCCCAAGCCTCGCCAGGCGACCCTCCGCAAGCTATATACCCCACATGTACCCCCTTCGCCCGCAACGATACTCGACTCTGGCGCCCTCGTACTCTACTTTCCCGCGCCCAACACCGTGACCGGAGAAGACGTGCTCGAACTGCACGTGCATGGCGGCCCGGCTATCGTACGCGCAGTACTTTCAGCCATATCTGAATGCGCGAACATACCAAACACTCGCAAGTCGAAGCGCACGGAGATCCGCTATGCTGAGCCTGGAGAGTTCACCCGGCGCGCTTTCGCCAACAACCGAATGGACCTGCCCCAGATCGAGTCGCTAGGGGAGACATTGTCTGCTTCGACTGAGCAGCAACGCAAGATCTCAGTGAGGGGCACAACCTCCTCACTGGCAACACGATACGAGCACTGGCGCATGCTGTTGCTGCAGGCCCGGGGCGAGCTGGAAGCCTTGATCGATTTTTCCGAAGACCAACACTTTGACGAATCACCTGCTGTTCTATGCGCCTCCGTCGCAACTCAAGTCCGTGCCTTGCAGGTGCAGATGGAGGCGCACGTTGCCAACGCCGTTCGTGGAGAGATGCTGCGCAATGGCATTAGCATTGCGCTTCTCGGTGCACCCAACGCAGGCAAGAGCAGTTTGCTGAATCGCATAGTTGGGAGAGACGCTGCTATCGTCTCTGAGGAAGCTGGCACAACGCGCGACGTGGTTGAGATAGGATTGGATCTGGGTGGGTGGCTTGTCAAAATTGGAGACATGGCCGGCCTTCGCCAGGCTGGTGTCGCAGGTGCGAGCGTCGTTGGGGCCGTTGAACAGGAGGGCATCAAGCGCGCGAAGCAACGAGCACTCGAATCAGACGTGCTGATTGTCGTTCAAGACGCCACAGCCGAGATGGATCCTGAGGTCATGGCGACGGCAAAGCAGTGTGCTGATGTCGGCATCGAGGTCATTGTTGCTCTCAACAAGCGCGACCAACTTTACACGTTCGATATCTCGCGGGCGAAATGGGAAGAAAAGATTCACTCCGCCCTGGGCCTCTCTAAAGACCGCCTGTGCTTCATTACATGCAAGCCGCTCACAGGGCCGATACCTTATCCAACTAGCGACAACATCCCGGAATTCCTCACTATCTTGCAGGATACTTTCAAGTCTATGACAGCCGCGTTAGTTCCTGACTCGGATCCCGATCCAAGCATTTGGCAAGAGTCATTAGGCGCAACCGAGCGTCAACGTCTTCTTCTCTCCGAATGTCTCAGCCACCTTTCCGCCTTCCTCACAACCGTAACCGAGCCCTCGGCCGATACAACCAGAACCGGTGAGGAACTACCAGGCGAGGCCGACGAGGTCGATATTGTGGTCGCTGCAGAGTGCCTTCGCTCCGCCGCCGACGCATTGGCCCGCATCACAGGCCGGGGTGATAGCGGCGATGTGGAAGAGGTGTTGGGGGTCGTTTTCGAAAAGTAAGTGACTCTAGCCTAAATCTCGTGCCCTCATGTCGTGTCACGTTCTGGAATCTTTGGCAAGGCGTTCTACACTTTGGCCCCCATTTGAGTCAGACGGTTGCACCCGAGAGGGGGCCAAGCGGGCGTTGCTGGGGAAAGCCACAATGGTAATAGCAGGATGTGTCTGTGCAGTATCGATTGCTGCATAGGGCGTCTGGATAACCGAACTCTTTCCCCATGATGCTTGCCGGCTTACGCTCAGCTGCGGCCGCGAAAGACCACGTGACGAACCTTTGCTGACGTCAACCTTCTTACAGATTCTGTGTCGGAAAGTAGCGAACGCAGTCACGGTACTGGCGTTACTTCAAATCACAGCTTGCGAGGACGATTTGTAGTGTGGGGAGAGGATACCGTCAAGGTATCAATTGTCTATTCTAGTCAAAGCAGAAGTGATGAAGCTCTACTACCAGACCTGCTGGTGGTTCAAAATGCAAAAACGCCGTAAACAGTCGTATCGGGGAAAAGGAGATCTTGATTGAGGAGAAAAGCAGAGAAACCCGAAGCAAACTCGAAAACAGTACGCCTAACGCCGAATAACTCCGTGTCTAGAAACAGTACCCAGGTCCGTTACCCATCGCTCAATGAAGAGCTTATCCCAGCCTTTCCAAACGCCTCAAAATGCTGTGACATACAATTTGCATGATTCCGTAGCCCATAGTTCATAGCCTGTGTCCAGGTCCAAAGAGTCCAACGCTCGCTAATGCCGATTCAAAACAAGAAAATGAGGATCAAGATGAAGATCAAGGATAGAAAGAGGAGATGTTGGTACAAGTGAAGAGTGTGTGATGATACAGAGATGAAAGAAATATGAAGCCGAAGGAAGAAGTAGATGGCCGAGGCCTAAGAAGTCAGAGATGGCCTCCATCGTTCGAGGCGTCTCTTGCGGAGTGTTCGGGAGGCGGGAAGTGGCGGGAAGTGGAGTGTGATGGTGTGAGGCGTGGCCATGGTGAACCACGCCGCAAGGATGCTGATGAATGTTTCGGATTGCGGGATTGCGGGAGCAGCCGTTGTGCTTAGTTGTAGCCTCCGCGACCCATGTTGGCCGATTCTTCCTGGGTGTTTGGTGGTGACATTGTGATTGATCTGTTTGTTCGACTTTGAAATTGGTTGACGTGCAGACTTGATGAACAAAGAGCCGGGTCTTTGGTATTGAGATGAATGCACAGGTCTTAGTTGTAACCGCCGCGACCCATCGGGTAGTGTCTTGAAGATGGTGTAGTTGTAGGTGTAGTCTCAGAGTGAAACAATGCTGTTCCTGACGAAGACACTGTGCGTGGGGTATATAGCAGGAAGACGCGGATGAAACAATGGAACAATAGTCGAAGACGGAAGAAGATGGTGTGGAAGGATGCTGAATGAGTGAAACTTTTGACTCAAAGGGAAGAAGCGACTCGACTTATATGAAACAAGAGGCCGACAAAGACACCAGAGAATGCAGGAAAGCGGACTAGGAAAGGACGAGGGAAGAAAAGGGCGCTCGGGTATGGTGACTGGGACGGATCGGAAACTGTTACTTGCTCTGCTTGCCTGCTTTCCCATGGTCCAGGCATCCAAACCGTCTTTATACCGCACAGTTCACCTACCTGTTCCCCCCTACACCACCAACCAGAACGGCGGGAACTGGTGGCGGACGGAACCTGGTTCAAGCCACGAACAAGGCATCTAGTCATCATTTCCTCTTACTCGCCGTACGACTGCGCAGCACGCAAAGCCGTCTGCTTGGGTAGACAGGAATAAGTTTCAGGGTCTGTGGGTGGGTGCGTGGCAGTGAGAGGGGGACCTGTGCTCGCGGGTGGGAAACTGGAGCCGCAATGCAGTGCACGCGCCAGGTGGATAAGATGGGCGTGCAGCAGCGTGCGCGGCTGATGGCATCCCTGCTGCTGATTACATGGAACCATGCGGAAACTGTGCGACACAGGTCTTCATTGGTGACTTTATGGGAATGCGATTGCAAAGCAGAGGGAATGTCAGTCCTCGTGCATCGTGCATCGGGCTATGACGAAGAAGGTGTGCTTCTGCATTGACGACGCATGTCTGCCTAACTTATACACCCCTTCCATCAGGATACATGTGTCTTCTTCTTCACCACCACCACCAACAACACCCTACGCCGTTAGGTACAATCTGGATGCTTGCAGCACACGCCAAGGTACTTTCTCGACAAGCGCGGGTCGTTTTGCCATTGGCCTGCTGCCGTAACGCACGACACAGTCATACAACATCATCACCGACAAGCATCTTTCCCTACGCCAGACTGCGTACCTGCGCAGTGCACTCACACCAGTCGCAAGAACCTCTTCGAGGCAATTCATCGTTTCCCGTCGGTCGCGCATTCGGGCGACTTGCAGTTTCGAGTCAATTATCGTGCTCGTCACACTGTTACTCATCCATCGCGATCCCCCGACGATTGCTGTGCTGCATCTCGCTTGGACGGGGCCGTTTTCCGTGGACCGCCGGCGAGGGCAATGCTGGGCGTGCAACACGAATGCCTGCAAGCCATGTGCGAGCGCAAACTCCTTCTGGGCAGCGTTGCAACCTGCTGTTCCACATTTGGAGGCCGCCCCGTGGGCTTGGGTCGTCTGAAGCAGCGAATAGGGCTGCGTAGGTGGCCAAGATGCTGTTTCGAGCCCACCGGGGGATACAGTGCATGGCAGTGCGTTTGAGCCTTACCCGCCCATATGCCTGCTACGTCGCGCGGGGGAACTCTACACCCATGTCCGACCGTTGGTGCCTGGAAGCTGGAAATGGTGTTGAGTTTGGAGCGTTGCGTACGCGGCAGTCGCCGACGTGTGCAGCCCGATCATGACACGGTATGAGTCTTCCGGTACTACTACTTTCAGCACAATACCCAGCTGGAAGCACTCCAAGGCCCTTATTGC